CAATTAGTGGTAGACGCCTCGAAGAAGCAGCAATGGCATCCTGTGGCATTTTTCTCACGAAAGATGATCCCAGCGGAACGTAATTATGATACCCACGACCATGAGATGCTTGCAATTGTCTCGTCGTTTAAGCACTGGCGTCACTACCTTGAAGGTGCCAAGTACAAGGTTGAGGTGCTTACGGATCATAATAATCTCCGTTACTTCATGACAACCAAAGAGTTGACTAGAAGGCAAGCTCGTTGGGCAGAATGGCTCTCTGCCTTCGACTTTCAGCTCACCTACCGGCAAGGGAAGCTGAATCCGGCCGATGCCCCATCCCGTCGGCCGGATTACCTTAAAGAGGCCCAAAAGGGTCGACAAGGTGAAGACGAGACGCTCGACGGAGTGCTCGCGTCGCTTCAGCGCCAGTTGGCGTCTCCCCAGAGTGAAGGCACTCCACTAGGGATATCTGAAGCATATCTTGCAGCATTCAGTGTTGCTGAGGAAGAGGAAGCGCAACCTCATACCTCTCCTATCCAGTACGTGGGAACAGGCGCGCCTGGACAGGAAACGACATATATGCCGTCAGACTCGGTTTCTAGTGCTATCGTAAGTGCCATGGGCACTGATCAGTACGCAGAAGAGCTGCGCAAGTCCATAGAGGCAGATGCCACGCAGTTAGAGCCTGATAGCAGTCGGAGTCGGAGCATCGCTGCCATTCAGAAGCGATGGCGGGTCGATGGAGACTTTCTCCGCTATTGCGACCGTATATACGTCCCAGCGGGCGAAATACGGTTGCGAGTACTCCATCAGTGTCATGACGATCCTCTTTCAGGCCATTTCGGATTCACAAGGACGTTTGAGCTCCTTAGCCGGACATTCTGGTGGCCAGGGATGCGTGCATACACAAAAGATTACGTCAAGTCTTGTGAGGCCTGCGCGAGAGCCAAAGCGCCACGGAAGAAGACCTTTGGGGTCCTAAAGGCACTGCCTATTCCTACCAAGGCCTGGTGCGACATTGCACTCGACTTTATCACAGACTTGCCGCCTTCTAAGTGCAGAGGGCGGACGTATGACTCTGTTCTCGTCATAATTGATCGGTTCACAAAGATGGCACATTACATACCCGCAACAAAGACCATAAAAGCCCCCGAACTAGCTGAAGAGTTCATTTGGGAGATCATACGCTTACATGGAGTGCCAAAAACAATCGTTTCGGACCGCGGACCACTGTTCACGGGTGGGTATTGGAGCAATTTCTGTTACCACCTCAGCGTTAGGTGCAAATTCTCTACAGCATACCACCCACAGACAGACGGCCAGACCGAAAGACAGAATCAGACGCTCGAGCAGTATCTTCGCTGTTATTGTTCCTATGAACAGGACGATTGGGCAGTACATTTACCCCTTGCGGAGTTCGCTTACAATGATTCAGTTCATGCTACTACCGGGATGACACCATTTGTGGCGAACAATGGTCAACATCCGCGACGAGGGGAAATGCCCGGCGAACGGTACCAAAAGGGTATCAATGTACCTGCTGCAGATCGAGCGGAACGCATTCTCAGCCTCCAGAAGGCTATGCGTGAGAATCTGGTTAGGGCAGTCGAAAGCCACGCCAGAGGGTACGACAAGACCCATCAAGATCATCGTTTTGCCATTGGAGATAAGGTTTACCTTGCAACAACCAACATTAACACGACAAGACCATCCAAGAAGCTTGACTATAAGCAAATTGGCCCCTACGAGATCACGGAGGTGGTCAGTAGTCATGCTTATCGCCTGAAGCTGCCAAAGACGCTCCAAATCCACGATGTGTTCCATATTTCACTCTTGCACCCGCATTACGCTGCGAAGGACACGGATAGGGCGCAAAAGGCACCGACGCAGATCGTTTCGCAGGACACGGAGGACACGTATGTGGTTGAGGAAATCTTAGAGAAGAAACAAGACGGTATGGGTCGTTGGACGTATCTGATCAAGTGGAAGGGCTATGATGAGTCCGAAAACACTTGGGAACCAGCCGAACATATCTCCAAGTCGGCTATGGCAGCCTTTGAGCGCCGAATGGGCCTAAGGGGGTCCAAAAGGAAGCGTCAAGAGCCAGAGGCTGCTAAAGGACCACCAAAGAAGCGTGGCAGACCGCGTAAGGCATGAGAACTCTTTCCCTCCTTTTTCCCCACGAAGGGTTTTTTGGAAGGGTTTTAGCGAGCTCATGGTGCGATTGTCACGTTTGGTCCTTTGGGCACTGATGAACCTATTCTGCCAAGATCACCTGGATCAGAAGAGAAGTATGAGGTCCCATTTGCCCAGAAGGCTACGCTATGCTATGTTTCGCTAAGCTATGCCGCTAATAACATGAGTTTCGACCTACCGCCATCGCAGTGGCGCGTTTCGAATCGTACTCTACCCGATGGTACCTTTGGGTACCAACTCCACCTGTCTACTCCTCCTCAGTATCAGGAATGACGAAAGGCCTATCATCGCCAGAATCCTGGGCTTCACCATCCACAGCAGTGGATTTGAAGAGCTGACCAGCGAAATTCGACTTTCTGGCCTTGAAATGGTTGAACGAATGGCTTCCATCGTCTTCTTCAACAACCTGAATGACACCTTTCGTGGAGAGACGGAGGTTCAAGGCGCTGAAGGTGCCGGAAAGTCCCTTTTGGACCCGCTTGAACCATCGTTGGTGCTTCTCGAGGTGAGACGAGTGGTTGACAAGTTGAATCTCCGCCACGGCAAGCCTTTGCTTCAAATCCAGCAGCTCTGCGTTCGTCTCGAGAGCCATCGCGTTTATGTGGTCCATCTTAGCAACGAGTGCGTCCTATGGGATCCTATTAGCATCGAAACCACCAAGATCGCATGGAATGACTCACAATGTCCATCTTCTTCCTCTTCCTATCCTTTTGTGGCTTGGAGAGTGGAGTCAAAACACCAGGAACCGATGTGCCGCTATGAAGGCGCCAAACGCCAAAGATGCGCGTGTTCCGGCCTTGCAAGCCATCGTACATCTCTCGAATGGTGTTGAAGGCTCTCGCAGGTACCGGTTGGTTAAGTTCGATCGCAGTTCGGACCGCAAGGACGAAAGGAGCAAGCGATTTCCAAAGACTGGACTCAATCTCCAACAATTAGCACTCGCCTAAATTGAAAGGGCACAAAGAGGTCAACAATGTACCTGAACACATTGATTGCCTGCTCTCGCAAGGCAATTCCCACATCGAGCTGTCGCCGTCGTCGCTGCATGCTCCGAAGGAGCAGGGAAACGGCACAACTCCCAGTCGTTGGGATCCTCAAGAGTCGCAAGAGACCGCAAGCACTCATAACATGGGAAAGTGCATGGCTTCTGAGTCTTGGCGGACTTGATCCCAGCTTCGCGGAACCCTTTGCTTCGCGCAGCCGGAGAGTAGGGGACAGCAGTACCGTCACCGTCGTCAGAGTCAGAATCAGACTTGGACGCGATCTGCTGGCGCGGAAGGGATGACATCACGACTAGAAAGCGTCAGCTAGACCAGAAATGGATCTTTTGGACCTGAATGCACCAATGCAGGGCTTCCTGGTACATTGGGACCTTACCGGTTTTTCGGGTCCAAATGGGTCCAAACGGATCAAGTGGGTCGAAATGGTCAAAACGGAATTCAAGAAAAAGTGGACTGAAGTGTTTTTGGCAAGTGCAACCGGGTGCCAAGACTCTGCTTACATAGGCAGAATTTTCTACAAGTTTCAGGAATTCTTACCTTTTAACACAGTCATTTGGGCATCACCGAAATTTCTTGGGCTGTTCGGGACGAGCAACCCCTAGAAAGGGGGTATTGTGAAGATTCACTATCTGCATGAGCCATTTGGGCCCTTTGGGCCCAGGTCGGATTATCTTTCATCCTTACCCCGCTTTTGAGGTATATAATGCCCCGCACGAATCCTACCAACTCTCAACGGTAGCGATTCGCGCTGTTACACATTACACGATTACATACAATACAAATACGTTGATACAGACTTCTTGATCTATTCAGTTGCCTACAGCAATCCAATATCACCCAGGACTACCAATCCTTGACAG